TATTGAAATGTCTTCAAAAATAACAGTTTCAGCAAAAGCAATAGCACTGTGGATTTTATGACATATGCATAAGTGAAATATATGAAGCAGAGGGAATAGCATCAACATCAAGAGGAAAGAAGTGGAAGGGAACATCTACAAAGTCTTTATGCCACATGTGGATCAGTACTACCAGAAGGAGATTACAATGAGTTAGAGATGTTTAGCATGATCCTAAGCCAATCACTAAAATCACAGAGAATAAAGCTAACAATTTAACAAATAGATTTAAAAAAGTTTTAAAAAGGAAAAAAGATACACTGATGTTAATATTTATCAAAAGAAATAATAACTATATGGATATCAGGAAAAGTAGATTTCAAAACAAAGTTACTGGGGAAGAAGTTCACTTATAGTGATTGATAGGTGAATGGATCAAGAGGGCATATAATCCTAAACAGTCATACTCCTAAAAAACAGCTTCTATGTACATGAAACAATACTAACAAAACTGAGAGCAGAAGTGGATAAAAATACAATTGCAGTAGAATAATTCAATTCACATCCCTCAAAAAATAATAACATGATCAGACAGAAAATCTGTAAGGATATAGAGGACCTTAAAATAGAAGCAACCAAAATTGACCTAATTGTCACTGGTAGAACATTTCATCCAATAATAACAGCATACTTGTTCACTGCATTTGTAAACAGAAAATTTTCCAACAAAAGCTATATTATATGCCAGTAAAAATCTCAATAAACTTAAAAGCATTTAAATTATTCAAACAACTTCTAGACCACAAGAACATAAAAAGAATAAATAAAATCTCCACAAAATCTCCCATAAATATATGTGAACTCTAAACAAAAGTTTACCCAAATACAACAATACATGAGAGTATTTAAAAAAATTTAGAAATGGAAATAAAAGTTTATTTTGGTGCAAAAAAAATTTGAAATCTGTGCATAGTTTTCTTATAATGTCATTTTCCATAAACTTTTTGAATGCTCCTCATATTAGAAGTATCATTCTTCTCTAAATGGGGTTTATCCTAAGAATGCAGGATTGGTGTAACAATGGTCAATGAACTAATTTACCATACAAACAGTTTGAAAAAGAAAAATCACAAAATCATTCCCACAGACTGATGAAAAATATAAACTACACAATCTGTTACAGATTTTGATAAATTCTCTCAGTAAACTAGGACCAGAAAGGAATTCCATGCACCTGATGAAGGGCATCTCTGAAAAATCTAGAATTAACATCATACTTAATTAGTGAAATACTTCCATGTTTTTCCCTTAAGATCAGAAAACAAGAAAGGGTGTTTCATTTCACTTCTATTCAACATCTTACTGGAGAGTCTAGCCAGTGCAATAAGACAAGAAAAGAAATAAAAGACAATCAGATTGGAAAGAAAGAACTAAAACTTAATTTGCAGATGTAATTGACAATGTAGAAAATCCAATGAAATCTACCTCCTAAAAAATGTTACTGTAATGTATGAATACGTGTATTTATCAAGGGTGGGTGAAGTAAACAAGATCAACAAATACAAATCAATTTTGTTTTTGTATTGTCTTAATCCACTAAGCTGCTATAAAAAAGTATCTTCAGCTAGGTAATTTACAAAAAAAAAAAAAAAAAAAGGAAAAGAAAAGAAGGAGAAGGAGGAGGAGGAGGAGAAAAAGAAACCACAGAAATTTATTGCTCACAGTTCTGGAGGCTGGGAAGCTCAAGACCAAAATTGCAGCAGATCTGGTGTTTGGTAAGAGCTGACCCTCTGCTTCACTGTTGGTGCCCTATTGCTACATTCTCATATAAGGAAAGTGGCACACTTAAACTCTTTTATTAGGGCAGTAATCCAATACAGAGGGATCTATTCTCCTGATCTAATCACCTCCTAGTAGCTCTACCTTTTCACACTATCACATTGGGTATTAAGTGCCAGCGTGTGAATTTTGGAAGGACACCACTTTTCAGGACATAGCATATATAGACAAAATAACAGAATATTTAAAAATACTATTTATAACAGCATTGTTATTATTATTTAGTGGTAAACTTTTCAAAAATTGTCTAATTTCCAAATACTGAAAACTGTAGAATATGGCTGAGAAATACTATCTCAAGGCCTTACAAAAAATAAAATGACCTCTTAATTTCTTTCAACCTATTTTTAATGTGTGTATCTAATAACACATGAGTACACACTGCAAATAGGATAATAAATGGAGTTAATGTTTTTCACCATCATAGAAATCTCAACATACATTAAATATGGAAACGTTTCAACACTTGGCCCAGAAGAGTTTATTCTTTCAATATTTATTGACTGTTTAGTGAGTGTCACACATTCTGTTTAATGCCATGTGAATTAAAGAGGCAATTTTGATCTTCTGGGGCTATTATGTAATAAAAATAAAAACTAAACAAGTAAAAAAATACAAGTACAAAAATAATTAAAAATTATAAAATAATAAAAACACAAAAATGGATTATGCTACTTACACAGCACAGTAATATGAAATCTCTCTTGCTAGGTGTTTAGGTCAAAACCTAAAAAGCACGAAAACTCAACCAAACAAGGAGAAGATGACAAAGGAACAGCATTTGAGAAAGCCCTGAGTAGGAAGTAGGGAGTGGGAGAAAGGAGTGTCTGACATGTTTAAAAATTCAAATGCAAGTCAGTCTGACTGGAAAGTTAAGAGTATGGAATAAAGAGGAAAATGGTCTAATAGTCCCTTAAGGGAGGTAGGTAGGGATCAGATTGGTAGGATCATGTAGGACCTGGGATTTTATTCAAAGTGCAATGGATGCCACTTTACAGTTTTAACTAGGCTACAGACATGATTATATTTTTAATTTTAGATTACTCTAGCTGCTCTATTGGAAAAGCAACTGGTAGCAATATTAAAGACTGTTACAGACAATCCCCTCTTTTCCACAAACATTTAAAGATGCTAAATAATGTATACCACAATTCTATTTAAATGAAAAAAATACATCACAGAACTCAAAGCAAAAGAGACATAGACTGGGGGTCTCTACCTAAATATAAATCCTGAAGATTGGGATTTCTACACATATTTGAAGATAAGGTTGCTAAATTAAAGTCAAAAACATGGGAAAGGGGCTGGTGCTGTGGTGTAGCTGGTAAAGCCGCCACCTGCAGTGCCTGCATCCCATATGGGCTCCTATTCAAGTACCGGCTGCTCCTCTTCAATCCAGCTCTTTGCTATGGCCTGGGAAAGCAGTGGAAGACGGTCCAAGTCCTTGTGCCCCTGCACCCACATGGAAAGACCTGGAGGAAGCTCCTGGCCCCTGGCTTCAGATCCGTGCAGCTCCCACAATTATAGCCAATTGGGAAGTGAACCAGTGGATGGAAGACCTCTCTCTCTCTCTCTCTCTCTCTGCCTCTCCTTTTCTCTGTGTAACTCTATTTTCAAATAAATAAATAAATCTTTAAAAAAAAAAGTATGGGAACGATAGGCCATGTGACAACAGAGGATTAGAGAAAACTCAGACTAGGCGTTGAAAAAACAGTATGGAAAACTGCTTTTTGTAATATTGTATATCATAAATATTTCACAATATTTATATAGTACATATATACCCTTTAATAAAGCCAATACATGAGGCCTGCTATTATATATGAGGGTAGGATTCAAATTTCTATTACAAGCTTAAAAACATTAAACTTGATTGAAAGTAATTGAAACAACTAGGGCCAACAAACCCAATCTGTTTCAACCTGGGTCACAGAGAACTCCCACTGAAGAAGGCCCTTCTTTGAACACAGCTCCCGTTAGTATACTGCACACCATTTGAAGACTGAGCACCAACCACAAAAAGCAAACAGGTGATTTAGAACTTTGCATATTGGAAATTACAATTTTATCCGGCTGGATTTTATATTTTGCTACATCTTGCTCATGCTATGGTTCTTATTTGGACCAATGCAAAACCTCTTAAAATGCCATCATTTCCATCTATATTAAAATTACTGATATTCTCTGAAGTTCGCCCAGAGTTAACTAGGGAAAATGTATGTATAACATTACACATCAGATACACAGGTGGTTCAGCACTGTTAATTCGGTGATCCAGACTGCTGTTGCCTGCAAATGGGAAACGGAATGAGCTACCAGCTTGCCACTGATGGCAAGTCAGATAATCTGTATCTTTAACATATTTAGTCTATGGTCAAAAACTGGATGAAACCGTATCCCCCAGTGTTTTGGGATAGTATTTAACTTTAAAATATTATGAAAAATTAGTACATTTAAAAGGATCTATGGCATCCCCAAATTTCAGAAACCTCAGGTTTAAAAGTCCAAAGATTACAAGGGAAATTCCAAACTTTGTTTAGTTTCTGCTGACTTATCTAAATAGGAAGTACTCTTCTCAACCCTCGGTGTGGCGTTTTCTGCTCTAGTTGTTTAAAAATATTGACACACAAAAGCCAAAAGTCTGACATCTTAGCCCCTGAGAAGTTTTGTTGTTGCTTCGCAGGAAAGAAGAGAGAAACAGGGAAGACTGATTAGCTGGCTCCTGTTGTTCGAATGAGGCAGTGGAAACTCAGAGCCATTCGCGTCCCAGGCAGACAGGTGAGAGAGAAATCGGGACCGGGCAGCGTCCTGCGGAAAAGACGCGACACCTGCTCCTAAGGGATCACCTGGGACACGCATTCACAAAAGACACGCGAGGAAACAAGCCGCGGACAGAGCCGTCTGGGAGACCCGGCTGTGTCAATGTCTCTCTTCACTAACTACAATCTCCGCCCTCTGGAATGTTTCTCATCATGAAAAAACCCCGAAGGCGACCATCCTCTTCAGCCAGCAGAAAGGATGCTTTGAGCACGGTGCACCTGACTCCGAAGGCACCCTCTACAAGCCGCGCTGAGCGCCGCCCCCGGGCAGAGGACGGGCACCCTTCCCCTCACCGACTCCTGGTCACTTCCCAACTGCCTGTCTATCTCCTCCCCCATCCCCATCGCCATTCCCCCCCTTACCTGTGTGAGCACTTAACCAAGATAGATAACACGCAGGGATGGAGAGCAGAAGCACAGGAGCGAAGATAAACGTCTGTGTGACAGCTTATCCCACGGCAGTCTGTCCGGCACCGCCAGAGGCAGCCTGGAAGCGAGCAGGACCCTAGGGCTGGAGGGGGCCTCGTGTCCCGAGCGCGACGCCCTGATTGGCTGGTTGGCTGCGGCCGGGGGTGAACCCGGATGTGCCTGGGCGGCCGTGTTGGCAGTCCAGGGCTATAGGTTTGGGTATCCTGGGGTTTTGGCTGCCGGAGCGGATGGCGCAGAGCTGGGCCGGCTTTTCTGAGGAGGAGCTGAGGAGACTAAAGCAGACTAAAGGTATTAGGCTGTACGTACAGAGCCGTTAAGGAGAAGAAGCGAAACTGCAGCTCGGGAGGGAGAAGGGGGCGTGGAAGAGACTCTGTCCGGGCAGGAGCTGGGTGTGCAGGATTGAGGGGCCCCAGGGCTGGAGGTACGGGGAGCTGTGGTGAGAGGCGGGCCCTGGGGAGAGAGCTCCGGAACGCACTTCAGGGATGTGATTTTTCCTGTAACGGAGTGGGAGCCCATAGCCCTGGGTGTCTGCTATAAGGAGGATTGATGCACGAACCTGTGGTTAGAGGACTGGTTGCGGGTAAAAGAGAGAGGAGGGGCACACAGCACTTCGGAATTGGGGTGAATTTATAGAAGCAGCTAAAACAGGAATTGCACAAGGATCTGAATAAACGCAAAACAAAGTGCTTTTTGTAATACATCTGGCGTATTGCACGCACTTCTGGTTGTCAGGTTATGTTCGCAGTTCTTTCCAGCTCTTGAGAATCCACAGACCAAAAGAGTCTTTGGGAGATTAGCCGTGAATCCTTTATAAACCTAAGTAGCTTTATGCTTCTGTCTTCAGCTTTATGGAGCATTCAATGGGATCGTACCGTTTTTTAAAATCATTTCATGCAGGAATCAAGATTACTAATACTTGCTGGGAAAGGGTTAATTCTAAGACATGACTTTGTGGTGGAATTTCCTTGAAGATCTCAGTGGTGATCCTGGCAGTGCCCACCCCTTCTGCAAGAAGCTTACACCACCCTTGATACCCGAATTTAAGTGCTTCGTTTTGAGAGAAAATTAAATCCTGCCGTGTACATTTCATTCAGGTTTTATGATTGGTGAAAATTGAATATTGTTCAAGTCATCTGTACATTTTTGGCATACATGTGAGTTTATCTAAGACTGACAAGTGGGAAAGGAATTGAATTAGTAGGGTGGGGCCAGGCAGATTGTATGGACTAGAATGATTTTTAGGGGTCTAGAGACCTTTCAAAACTGTATCATAGAAGTTATACTACAGTATGTGGCTAACTGACCATCTAGCTTGATGTCCTGAGATTCTTTTGTTCTGTTTTTAACAACCATATACATATTAAGGTGTACAGAGTGCAAGTACCCTAGCTTTGGGTCTGACTCCAAGTTCCAGGTGTCAGCTTCTGCTTTAGCAATGCAGGAAAGAACGAGTTATCATTCCTGCCTTCAAAGAGCTTATAGTCTAGTGAGAAGATAAACCTTAAAATCATATAATAATGTATGTGGGTGCAAACTGTTGAAATCTTTACTTAATGTATACTAAACTGATCTTCTGTATATATAGAAAATTGAAAATGAATCTTGTATGAATGGAAGGAGAGAGCGGGAAAGGGGAGGGTTGCGGGTGGGAGGGAAGTCATGGGGGGTGGGCAATGTAATCCATAAGCTGTACTTTGGAAATCTATATTCATTAAATAAAAGTTAAAAAAAATCATATAATAACGAATGTTATGTAAGAGCTTGCTGCAGAGCTAGGAGCAACCTTTCTGTGCTAGGAGTAGGATAGAGCTTGGAAATATTTGACAGAAGGTATGTGTTAACAGAAGCAAAGGAAACAATACAGAAGTCTAAAAGAATGCATTCATTATGTATAACTATATTTTGAAATATTTTTGCAATTGGGTTGCATAGGGAGCGATAAGGACCTAAATTTTTGTGCTCATGGTTTGATAGTGAGAACTTAGAAAATGGACAACGGGAGCCGACGCTGTGGTTCAACAGGTTAAAGCCCAGGCCCGCGGTGCCAGTGTCCCACATGGGCGCCCGTTCGAGTCCTGGCTGCTCCTCTTCCAATCCAGCTCTCTGCTATGGCCTGGGAAAGCAGTAGAAGATGGCCCAACTCCTTGGGCCCCTGCAGCCATGTGGGAGACCTGAAAGAAGCTCCTGGCTCCTGGCTTCATTCAGATCAGCTCACCTCCTGTCCATTGCAGCCATTTGGAGAGTGAACCAGCGAATGGAAGACTTCTCTCTCTCTGGCTCTCTCTCTCTCTCTGTAACTGTCTTTCAAATAAATAAATTTTTAAAAATGGACAACAAATCACTAGTCCATGACTGCTTTGAGGACAGAGGAACATCATAGCATCTTTCCAATTAGGGTATTTCAAAATGTGTGTGGAAAATGGAACTAAACCAAACCTTTTTGGTGCAATTTTCTTTGAAATCCATCTAGTTTTTTTCATAATACACATTCTTATGAACTTTTTGTATCTTCCTTCTATGTATGGATTTCAAAAATTTTTGCACCAAAATAAACTTATCTTTTAAATCCATCTTCCACAAGATTTTTGAAGTACGTGTGTTATCCATAGCCAGGTACAGATTGGTATATAAACCTCAGCTTTGCCTCTAAATATTTGCCTTGGATTTCTCAATAGTATAACTAAAAGACTTGAGTCTTTAATTCTAAGGTGTTCTCCAGCCTTAAAAAAAATAACTTAAGTAAACTAGGAAGATGGGGTTGGTTGCAGCAAAAATAGAGACACCAGTACTCTAGAGCCACCTGTGTGTACATTGGGGAAAGTGGTCAAGAATATTCTTAACAGTCTTGTGTATAGTGCTAAAAAATTGGCAAGAACTAAAATGTTCATTAATAACAGCATAGATAAGTTGTCATATACCTGTCTAGTAGGCTACTACACAGCTAATGAGAATGTATTAATTATAATCACATGAGTTAACATCCTCAAGTCACCTAAGTATAATGTATAAAAAGCAAGTCACAGATGACTCTATACAATCTGATAGGCATATAGGGAATCGATAATGGAAATCAAAAGAATAAAATTCAAATAGATAAAGAGGCAAGGGGTATTTTCAGGGAGGGGCAAATACATAGGGAACTTCAGAGGTATTGGTAATTATGACATTGAAAGGCCATCACAAAACACACCAAACACCGGAGTTAAAGAAAAGGTTTATTGTTGGGCCAGCGCCGTGGCTCACTAGGCTAATCCTCCGCCTGCGGCGCCGGCACACCGGGTTCTAGTCCCGGTCGGGGAACTGGATTCTGTCCCGGTTGCCCCTCTTCCAGGCCAGCTCTCTGCTGTGGCCAGGGAGTGCAGTGGAGGATGGCCCAAGTGCTTGGGCCCTGCACCCCATGGGAGATCAGGATAAGCACCTGGCTCCTGCCATCGGATCAGCACTGTGCGCCCGCCGCAGTGCGCCAGCCGCGGCGGCCATTGGAGGGTGAACCAACGGCAAAGGAAGACCTTTCTCTCTGTCTCTCTCTCTCACTGTCCACTCTGCCTGTCAAAAAATAAAAAAAAAGAAAAAAGAAAAGAAAAGGTTTATTGTTGGGAGTTGGGAGGGAACCCAACAGCCTGGAGGCGGAGGGAGAAGAGAGGAGTGTGTGGGAAAGCAGGTCCTATTGTAGCTTTGCAGGGGTAGGGAAGTGGGAGCAGCTAATTCCATTATGGTGGAGGTGGAGTTGATGCTTGTGGTTGGACCATTTGGTCAACTGACTTCTAGTAAGCCAGGCTGGGCTTAGGACTTAAGTTTATTGTACAAGATGGTGACTGCGGCAGAGCCTAAAATGGCATTGGGAGTTTGTGATGGTGCCTCAGATAAGAAGGCACCATTTTACTAACAGAAATCACATTAACTCAAGTTAAGCTGAGGTAACAAATAATCCAAAAATATCAATTATCACATAAAGTTTTATTTTTCACTCTAGTTTCATGTGTGACATGGGTTGGCATGTAACTGTTCTATATAGTCACTGCATACTATCTCTTGATGCTGTTAGTTAGGCGTTGACCGTGGTAGGAGGAAATTTTTGAAAATCAAACACTGGCAGTTCAGTGCTATCACCAAGAATTGTCATGTATCTCTCCTACTATGGTTCATTTAACAAAAGCAAATTATATGACTTGGAGGCCGTGCATAATTCTGTTGTGTGTTCCAAAAGAAAGGGGGTATGTCTAACTTTGACTAGCAGTTACATCTGCTAAGATCATGTTTTATTTCTAGAACTGTGCTTTTTTCTTTTTAATAGTCTATACAGGGTAGAAGAGAGTGTATAAAGGTGACATATACATACATATATTTGATGTGTGATCTATCTCATAATGAAGTAGGATTGAAAGTTAAAAAGAAAACAGAATAGCCACATGCTATCAATTTCTAGTTAAATTATGGATGAGTTATCTATTCCTGATATACTAGTTTTTACCAGTTATACCATGAATACCTTCATCCAGTTTATAGTTTGTCTTTTAACTTTTGATGAACAATATATTTAATTACATTATTTTCAGGTTTATCAGTCTTAGAATTTTCAACATTTTCTATGTCATAAGAAATCAATCCCTACTATGAGGTAAAAAGATAACTAATCTTTGTTCTTTATTAAATAGGTTTTTTTTTACTAATATAGTATGAGATATGGATCTGACTTTATCTTTTCATTATGGATAATTTTACCTTGTGTCTATTTGTTAAATAATCCTACCTTTTGCTGTTGATTTGTCATGTGCCTGTGTCATATACAATGCTTTATCCGTGTGTGAATCAGTTTCTGGGCTCTTTGTTCTAATGTGTTGGTCATTTTGTCTGCTCCTGCAGCAATATCACACTATATTAGAGCTTCATACTGTCACTGATACCTAGTAATGTAGTCCCTTTTTCTTCTCTGAAATTTTTCTTTGTGTGTTTGAACCTTTATCCTTCCATGTAAAATCTTTATTAATTTTACCAAATTTCGTGGAAAACCCAGTAGGAATTTTGATTGTAATTGCACTGAATCTTTAGATCATTTTGGAGACTTTTCACTTCGCTTCTCCCCTTCCCTCCCCTCCCC